TGTACCCAGCTTCAAGCTGTATCTAGCACAGAGCTGCAGCTGGTTCTATAAAATGTCTAGCCACTGACTAGCAACATGATCTTCATTTGACTTTTCTTCAGTGTCCTCATTTGTAAGGATTTGGTCAAGTAGACCTGAATGTTTCCTTCTATTTCTGTGGACCTATGAGGAATGAGGAATTAAGTAGGTAGTTATAAAAGAAAAAAGTCACATCAAGGGCCAGGCAAACTGGCTTACACCTGTAATACCAGCACTTTGGGAGGCCAAGGCAGAAGGATCACTTGAGGACAGGAGTTCAAGACCAGCCTGGGTAGCATAGTGAGATTTCATCTCTATTAAAAAATAAAGTCACATTAAGATCAGAATTTCATATTTAGCAATGAAAAAGCAGTGCAGTAGTGTAGAATGTGGAGACCCAGGTACTTGTTTGCTCATCATGAAATTAGGTTCATATTGAATGCCTTACTGTCCTCAGAGACTTACGAAAATCAGTCTAGAAAATGGATGTGAAGACAATATGTTTCACAAATATATAGTATCATCGGCAGTTGTAATAGCAGTAGTAAACTTTTGAACATATTATGTGTGCAGGTTTGAGTATTCCTTATCCATAATGCTTGGGACCAGAAGTGTTTCAGACTTCAGATTATTTCAGATTTCAGAATATTTGCATATACACAATGAGATAGCTTGGGAACAGACCCAAGTCTAAACAAAAAATTATTTCATTTCATATACACCATATTCCATATAGCCTGCAGGTCATCTTATACAGTTTTTTTTTTTAAACAATTTTGTACATGAAACAAAAGTTTGTGTTAAGTACATATGTGTGGAATTTTCCACTTAAGATGGTGTCATGTTGGCATGCAAAAAGTTCTGGAATTTGGAGCATTCTAGATGTCAAATTTTTGGATTAGAGATGCTCAGCCTGTGTAACAGTAGAATGCTAGGACTATGAACATCATTATCATTTTCAGTTTTTTTATGATATATTAGAATTCAGTGTTATTGACATTGCTTTAACTAGGCCTCCGATTTCTCCTTGACAAACTTTTTTTTTCTTGAAAATTATAATCTAGTTTGATGACATTGACCATTTATCAGATCAATCCACATTTATTTATTTGTATTTATTTAAGTCAGTAACTCTGTGCTCAGACTTTTATGTTCTCTAAAAGTTCTTCTGATGTTTCATATAATACCATTTATACAATATGTTTTATTTATAAAATTTTTGCAGTCATTTTTACTTATTAAATTTATATATTATATACCTGTTCTAAGAAAAGGACTTTGTACAATATGCAGGTTTTAAAAGATAGAAAAATATTGATAAATCAAGGCTAAGAGAACAGAAAGAGAAAACAGAAAAATGAAACTAAAGAAAAAGTTAGCATGCAGAAATACACACCAAATATGTACCAGAATTTTTCAAAGTACAATCTAAGGTATTGCATCTAAACAGTTGTTCTAAAAACAAAAGAAGTAGGTGTTTCTCATAAAAAATTTAAAAAAATAAAATAAAGAGAAACACTGGAATAAACACATTTAAACAATTATATTTACAATAGTATTTCTCAGAGCCTTAAGATCATGTAAATCCCCCACAAACCTCTGGTAGAATTTTTGTTTCATGTAGTAAAGTCACAAAGGTTTTTATTTTTAGGAAAACCAAACTTTTTGTAGCACTGAAGTTTGAGACAGATTTCTCTCTTTGGTCTTCAAAACAGGGAAACTGAGTGATAAGAGTAGAGAAAATTCTCAGCATTATTTCTTCAATAACTACAGTAGTGTTTCATGTGAACATCCTAATGCTACACATGTAATTTCCCATAAATTTTATAAGGAATGCAAATTTTTGTACATTAGTCACTTCTTGAATTCTTTCATGTTAGAAATACTGCTTTTTTGCAAGCTATGTAGACTTTTTGGCAGTTTTTAAAACTGAATTATAATAATAAAGTTTTATAGGAATAGAAATGTTATTTTTCATTTTTGCATTTTTTGCACCATTTTTTCCTATTTGTTAAAGTGTTCACCTGTAACATAAAAACTAACAAAGACAAAACAGCAATAAATCTAAAAATAGGGTTTAAACTTTCAGTTAAACTTTTGTATATGGTAACACTTAAAAAGCACGGAAGTCACTGAATCCAAATGCCCACTGTTTGACAGAAAAGGGAACAATTTATTGATGTAGTAACTATGATGAAAATTGAAAAATATTGCAAAGTAAATTTATAAATTTTATTAAGTGTAGCCTTACCTTTTGACCAGAATTCTTAACCATATGCATCTGGCAAAAATCAAATGATACTGACATTGCAGTATTTGCTAAAATTTTTAAAGTATAGCAAAGTTACAACCTTGTCAGTATGTGGGTAAGTAGGTAATTGATTGATGGATGGATAAATATGATATGATAGGTATCTATTATGATCTCTTAAGAAAATATATCATCTGTGACAAAATTCTCATTTCCCCAAACAAACATTTTGAAGCTTTTTGCTTTCTAATTATTTATTGCTGTTTGACTATTAGAAGCAAAACGATAGAAAAATATTAAGTACAAAGCAAATCACTTACATTATGTTCCATAAAAATCATTTCTAACTTTATTAGGTAAAAATTCAAAATTAGAGATATATTGTAAGAAGTGTCTAAGGGAGGGATATGCAGACTTTAATACTGTGCAGCTGTTTCCTACACAGCATTACTCTGTAAAACTCTACAATAAAATGACTTTGATGAAACTTGCGTAAAATAAAAAATGTAAGTCTTTACTTTTCCTTTTCCAGAAATGTAAGAGAAGACTGGAAAAGATTAGAGGAAGAGCCATGCTCCTTTTTAAAGAATGCTTTGTGAGATTTTACAGGACAAACAGTATCAGATAAGATCAAACCTTAGGGATTGCACAGACATTTTGTGCATGCGAAAGGTCTATTAGCATATTCACGACAGAACAAAGTATTAAACATTTTCAGTGCTTTGAAAAATATACTTACTGAGTTAGAAAAACATATCTGAACATCTAGTAAAGTATAAAATATGTAGGTAATTTTAAATGAAAAACTAATTACTTTGGGCCAGGCGTGGTAGCTCACGCCTGTAATCCCAGCACTTTGGGAGGTCGAGGCTAGCAGATCACGAGGTCAGGAGATGGAGTCCATCCTGGCTAACACGGTGAAACCCCATCTCTACTAAAAATACAAAAAATTAGCCGGGCATGGTGGCGGGCACCTGTAGTCCCAGCTACTTGGGAGGCTGAGACAGGAGAATGGCGTGAACCTGGGAGGCAGAGCTTGCAGTGAGCCGAGATCGTGCCACTGCACTCCAGCCTGGGCGACAGAGCGGGACTCCATCTCAAAAAATAAATAAATAAATAAATAAAATAAATAAATAACTCATTACTTCAGTTCCATAACAGACTTTACATTCATTTCACTTTATAACAATTAATCTTTTACCAATAATGTAATTATGTTGTTTTAAATAGTATTAAGATTTTATGTAATGTTTAACAAAATTACATTACCTTTTTTACATCTATCTAAAGAGATTTGAGAGATAATCAATGAAATTTAACACAATAAAGTTTAAACCTTAGAACATTCTTTAAAAATCTAAATTTTTATACTATCATACTTTGTTTTACAAAATGAAGATTAAAAAGTTTAGGAACCTTAAAATATTAACATTCTTGTGTATGAAAAATACAGCTTTTATATAAATAAATTGTTGAGTCTTTGTTAATCATAATTAAAGTTAACAAAAAATGAACATAATTTACAAATAAATTTTCAGGATAAGCACCCTTGCAAATAAGAGTTTATTATGGAAATTCTAACAGACTTTTTACTGCTGATGACCTCATTGTGTTATTTGAATTAGTCTCCTGAGGCCAAAAGAAAAGGCTCATAACAATTTATAAATGAATCTTCCTCCCTTGTGTAACGTTATATGTCCCGTTGAAACACTAATTTTCTACTACTTCTCTTGTTAAAATTAAGCCTTCGAGGGATCTTCATAGTTGATTATAAATATTAAATTTTGAAATAAAGTAGTTAGACATTGTACTTAGTACTCTTCTTTTGTTTTCTCTGTAAACCTACTTACTTTTATAGTATGCAACTTAAATCAAAATCATGTGCTTATTTGATACCATAAGCACGGACTCTGTATACCATAAATCCAAAATCAAACAAAAACTTAAGCTAAGGCAGTTTGCTATTGGAAATCATGAAGATGGTGTGCTGGAAATTCCTAATAATTAGATGTGCTAAAATTTTGAGAATATGATGCAGTTAAGCACATGCTTTATTGAAGAAATCAGTATAGGGATTAGCATCATAATCAGTAAATAGGGTGGTGGTACTCATAGGAGAGGTCTTAGAGGCCTCAGCAAAATGCTTTCCAGGGAATCTGAATTTCCTGAATTATTCCATCACCCTTAAGTGTGTAGTTTAACAATAAAAAGGATAGTTGTTCCATCTATATACTACTAGAATAAGACTAACATTCTGTCAGGGTTCCATATGGAGGGTTGTCTTTCACACTCTGGGTAACCGGCTGTTAAGACAAGGTTTTCACTAATATGGTTGTCAAATGGTCAATCTCTTCACCTTCTCTGCCTTGGGTTTCCTGTATTCCAAGCTAAATGTTCATTATGTAGCTTATTAAGTAATAGGAAAATAACAAAACTGTTGATGTGGCCTTAACAGTTTAAATGAGATCACCTCTGATAATCTAGTTTACAAAAACTGTTAGTAAAGTCTAGAAACCTTGGACTATGAATCATCCTCTTGGGCAGTTTTTAACAAGTGTAATGATTTGTAATTAATATCAAAATCTGGTATGTTTAAAAATGTAATAGAAAATAATGTATTTATGCTGTATGGCTAAAAAGAATTAACAGTGAAATACTGAAAGTATAAAGATTTATTACCTAGGATATCTAATATGACTGTATTAAACAAAATATTTTTTTCTTTTAATAGCCAATTGGTGCGTTGAACCCAAAGAGAGCTGTGTTTTATGCAGAGCGTTATGAGACGTGGGAAGATGATCAAAGCCCACCCTACCATTATAATACCCATTATTCAACAGCAACATCTACTTTATCCTGGCTTGTTCGAATTGTGAGTATCTTCATTGAGCTAGTTTGCCTTTGTTACCTTAAAATTTTTAACGTAAGTAAATTAAATACAATTCAAATCAGTTGTAGTTTGTTCTAAACAAAGATTAGAGACAAGTAAAGTAGAAATTAAAGATTCCAAAGTAGCAAAATATGAATTTTTTAATGAGTTGTCTCATTTGCAAAATTGGATTAGAAAGTTAGTTGTCTATTGCTAGGTATTATGAGCTTAAACCAAACCAGTTGTCCAGTTATAAAGGAGCCAAAACTGAGTACATACCTTTTTTTTTTTTTTTTCAGTAACAGGGTCTCTCACTCTGCCACTGAGGCTAGAGTGCAGTAGTACTATCACAGCTCACAGCAGCCTTGAACCCCCAGGCTCAAAGGGTCTTCCTGCCTCGGCCTCCCAAGTAACTAGTACTACAAGCATGTAACACCTTGCGTGGCAATTTTTTTTTTTTTTTTTTTTTTTTTTTTTTGAGACAGTCTCTCGTTCTGTCACCCAGGCTGGAGTGCAATTGCGTGATCTCAGCTCTCTGCAATCTCTGCCTCCCGGGTCCAAGCGATTCTCCTCCCTCAGCCTCCAGAGTAGTTGAGATTACAGGCGCCCACCACCACGCCTGGCTAATTTTTGTATTTTTAGTAGAGGTGGGGTTTCGCCATGTTGGTCAAACTGGTCTTGAACTCCTGACCTCAGGTGACTGGCCCGCCTCAGCTTCCCAAAGTGCTGGCATTATAGGTGTGAGCCACCGTGCCCGGCCCAGCTATTATTTTTAAACATGGCATCTCACTTTTTTCCCCAGGCTGGTCTCTCACTTTTGTTCCCCCGGGCTTCAGTGATCCTCCTGCCTTACCTCCCAAAGCACTGGGATTACAGGTGTGAGCCACCACACCTAGCCCTGGAGTGCATTCTTAATACCCTCTGCCTCCTTCCTCACAAATGATGCACACTGGCACTTGCTCTCCCCCAGCCCTCTCATTCTTACTTCTTGGGCAGCATGTTTTACAACCAGTTTCCAAATATTTTGAAAACCTCTTTCTGTTACTTTTCTCTTTCTCCTAAGACATAAATATATTCACGTCTCACTGATGTTTAAAAAAAAAAGAAAGAAAAAAAGCCTGCTGCCAGCCCCCGCCCACTCTGCAGTTCTTTCCCATCTCTCTCCCTGCATAGTCAGATTCCTGAAAGCACAACCTCTGCTGTCCTGCAATGCACTGTGGTACCTGTTGCCTATACTTGATCACCTCCCATTCAGTCTTTAGCCTGGTTGATTTCAGATCCACATCCATCACTTTACTGGATTGTTTTTGCGAAGGTCACATATTATGCAGATAGAGCTTCCCATTTCTTACCTATCATGTCTCTTGAAGCATTTCACACCATTGCTAATCTTCTCTCCTTGAAATTTTCTTTCAACGTTCCTTTTACAATATCCTCTCCTGGTTTGCCTCCTGTCATCCTAACTGTTCTGCTCAGTCTCCAGCTCAGATTCTTTTTCCTTGATGTTCCTATTCCCCAGGATTTTTCTTTATATTTCAGCTGAGCTGTGTCATTCAGTTATAAGCTAGTGATTTCCAGCTTCTCTCTTCTTTGCAAACATTTCTCTTGTGTTCCTGACCTATATTTCCAAGTGCCTGCTAGATATTTCTACCTGAATATCTCACAGTACCATAAGCAGCATTTCAATAAATGAGCTCCTCATCTCCCTCATGAACCTGCTGTGTTTAAATGCCATGATTATTCACTCAGCTGCCCAATCTAGAAATTGGGAAGCTTTTTCCTAGATATTTTCTCTATTTTTCCAGCCTCTTACATCCAATCAGACATCCACAGATTCTACCAACTAAATATCTCTATCTCCTTTTCTCTATACTCTGGCACTTTCTTTAATTTAGGTTCCCATTCTCTCTCACCTAGATTATTGCAAAAGCTCTTAGCAAACCTCTTTTCCTGTATTCTTGCCTTCTCCATTCTGGTCTAGATAGGAGCACTGTAAGCAACTGAGGAGTACTATAGAATGCTAAATTAAATCTTGTAATCAATAATTTTCCCCCTATTAAGATATACCTCAGACCACTCTATTGTATGAGGCTGATGTGCCCAAGAAACACATTGGTAAAGCAGAGTATATGAAACTGCATCTCCTGTCTTTGAAAATATTTTTTCCCTAAACCTAAATGACAGCTCTAGTTTGTAGGTTTTCGTTAAACATCCTCTCCATTACGGGAAAAAAATAACTTTCTACAGAAATTTAGTATGAATATATTTTAAGTAACTTGCAAGCCATTGATAGGTGACAAACTACAATTATTTTTGTTAAGAAAAATTTTGTCAGAATTGTGATTCTGTTTGAGCATAAATCTTATCTCTTTCATAATTCTACACCAGCATAAGAAGTAAAGGAAGTCTGGACTAACTAGTCTTTTGAGAAAACAAACCCAAATCTTATTTTTAAAACTAAACTCTGTAATGATAAACTAAAGGAAAAGACATAAAACTATTTTTAAACCAAAGCTATTAAATCATTCTAATTTATCCAAACATTCACTTTAATTATGTGAACTTGGATTCTTTTATAATAATGTTTCTGAGTTAGAAGTTTCTTAAGAAATACTTTTTAAATCTGGTACTTTTAAAGTATAGAATTCTCTTTTTTAATTTTCTGTTAATTTTGAGAATAAGATTTATATCATTGCCTATTTATAAAGCAATCAGAACAGAGCATCTTTAGTTTCTGGGTGATAATAATAATTCCAGAGGTAGGAAAATACTTCACACTCACAAGAGGCAAATGCTTTTCAAATTCCAGATACACAGACACATAAAGAGCTTATAACTTCCAACCTTCAGTTTCAACCATAGGTCAAAACTAAACAAAGTCACAAAAATTGACCAGTCAAGATCTCAAAAGAGCCGGTTTTCTTTGTAATGGATATAAAATATGCTCTTAATTGATTTGAACTCACAAATAGGCAAACAGACAAGAATACCAAAAAACTAATTAATTAGATTCACTGATCACCAAATGGTAAGACCATAAAACCAAAACTAAATGCTCAATCATTACTACCACCAGTGGAAAATTACCTATTAGCTGTACAGAAACCAGAAACAAAAAAATCAGTAGAAGGAGCAACTTTTAAAACCTAGAAAAAAAAAGTCACTAAAGTTCAAGTTTTGTTTGCTGCCTAGGGTCCACCCTGGAAACCAAGAAAACATGTAGCTGGGCTTAAGTAGCCCATGAGATACACTTCTTCAGCTAAACAGTTAATCTGAGTTCATCAGGTTGGTCCACATGGAACTCTCAAAGGGACCACCAAAACTCTTTTAGCAAAGGAAATTTTTAGAAAACATTGAAACTGGAGATTTGCACCCTGGGAGGCCTTTTCATACAACCTCAGGTCCCGTCAATGACAGTCATTGCCTTAGTGAGCCACCACCTGTAGGACAGGTGGTGCAGGACACCTCTTTCAGGTACTTTGAGGATGAGAAAAAAGGTCAGGAGTCCTTCCTGAGAAAATGTTATCTACTGTGTTGTTTGACAGATTAAATGAGAGTGTATATACAATAGTATTTTGAAATACATAAAGGGGTATTCACTGTTTTTTTTACCTAATCAAGTTAGTCTGAAGCCAGATTTACAAGACTCCTTCAAGAGTGACTCCATAAAAATACTTGTTATCAACAGCCTAATTTAAGTTAACCTCATCTATCCCTAATCAGCTAAACACTTTCCCAAATCATAACTCAGAATTTATACTTAAGTTGATTTGTTATTCCAGCGAAATGGAATTCAAACTTGAATCTATGCAAGGGCATGCCAGAATATTCTACACATTTATCCCACACATGCCCTTGTCTATAGCAGTGCTGCACAACAGAAATATAATGTAAACTACCATGTGACTTAAAATTTCTAGTAGCCACATTTATAAGTAAAAAAGAAACAGGTAAAATTAATTTTAATAAATATATTTGTTAATCTACTGTTTCCAAAATGTTATCATTTAAACATGTAACCAATATAAAAATGTAAAATGAGGCATTTTACATTTTACATTTTTGGAGGGAGGGTACTGAGTCTTTGAAATTCAGAGTGTATTTTATATTTACAGTGCATCTCAATTTGAACTAGCCACATTTCAAGTGCTCAATAGTGACATGTGGCTAGTGGCTACTGTTTGGACAAACCTATAAAACTGCTTTTATGGAGACTCAGCCCAAATATCTTATGTCATGTGGTTATAAATAAAAGTATCAGTCTCACGGTTTACTAAGCGTTTAACCTAATGGTCCAGAATTCGTGATTTCCTCACTCCCATTCCAAGGAGTTCATGAAATAGAAAATGCATTAAAATTTGGCTCACTAAGAATTTGTTCACAAAAATAAAATACAGATTAAAATAAGTGTCTGTCCTTTACCTTAGGCCTTTTAGATCTAAAGTCATTAAACTTATTATTTGTTTCGGTGTACTTAGTATGAGAAAAATAATAATTGCTTAAAAATGCTAAATAACTATATACTTCATTACTTTAAATTAAAAATATTATTTTAAACAAACTACCAGTGAAATCACTTGTCTACAATATGAGACTCTGAAAAGACTGTTTTCCTGACAACTGCCATTGGGCAAATCATGAATAAACTTATAGCAGCCTTTGGAGTTTCTTCAGATATTAATATTAAAAAACACATTTTACTTGGGATGTTTTTACTTGACATCTTACCCTAGTCATATAACATGTATACAGAAATAATTAAATCTTTTTCACTGACTTGCTGACCACTCAGTAACTGGTTCGCCTTCCAAATTCAGTATATTCAGCCCTCCTATTCAAAACTCATTTGTCAAACGTTTCATAGTTTCCAAGGAAGTGATGTTTAGAGTTTGAAACTTTCTGTGTAAATTATGGCTTGTTTTGAAAGCTTACCCTAAAGCCTCTTTAAACCATAATGTGTCTTTAAAAGTATATATGTATAGTAGAAACATTTTTGCACGTGTTGTAACTAAAACCAAAAGATAGTGCTACTGAATAAAATATCGTTGTGTTTATCTTGAATTCTGATGCATTAAGGACAATGCATATGTACTCAGAGAAAGATGGGAAATACTTAACCAAGAGCCTAGTGCATGGTAGGTACATAGGTTAACTAGTGAAAACTTTTGGAAAATTCTAAAAGACCCTTCTTGGTTCTTGGAAAAGAAATAGGAGAAAATAAACTTCTGGGATTAGACAAAGGCCAGTAGAAATAATGGTTCCTCCATCTGTTAGAATGTGACCTTGAATTTTCTCAGCTATAAAAGGGGAATAATTACACCTACTCTGAAGGGTGATAGTAGGGATTCAGTTAACTTAGATAATACAGAGCCTGGCACAGAAAAATGCTTAGTAGCTGTTATTTTCCTTCCCTTTTTATTTTATTATGCTTCCTATCACTTCAAATATACATCTTTTCTTTGCTGTAGTTATGTTGCAGGCACTACCTATTACCCATAAATGAGGTTTGTTTTGGCTTTTAAATGGAATGAAGAGAAGGAAAAGAACAGAACTACAACAAGCAAAGGACATAAAAGATTATTATGAGATGACTAAGCAAAAATCATGTAAGACGGAAGAATGAAGAAGTTGAGTAAAGAGAAGAGGCAGCAGGGAAACAGCATTAGTTGCCCATGATGGAATTAGTTGATCTGTAATCATCCAAAAGCAAGAAAGGCTGTTAGTGTCTTCAGACGGGACTAAGGGGTATAATAGAATACAGAAGGACAGGTACTTCCAGTGCAGGCCAGGTGAGTTAGTTTTCCATCACTGAAAAAGGATTGGAAGATATGAAATGATGTTGGAGTGGGTGTAATTAGGAGAAGAAAGTCTGCCATTGGCCATTTATATTGCAGGACCTAACCTGAACTTTTTAAAGCCTAATGAGTTCCAGAATTGCAATTTCTGAAATTACTGTTTAGTATTTATTCGTTTATACATCTTACCTCGCATGCCTAAAACTTTTCTAATATAATGGTAAAATGTCCAATCTATTGATGTACACATAGAAAATGGCTCAGTTGACAGGTGGTAGGCAAATAAATATAAAAGTTATTCAAGCTTAATATAGCACCTGATCCTCTATGTTATTCAGACATGGGTCAAACGAAAAAGAAAGGCTTTGCATTGTGCCTTGAAGGTAAAAGGGAAACACATGGAAGAAAGCAATCTCCACGGTAATCAGAGCTTGAAAGATCAATACTTACTTATAAACAAATAGGTTATCAATTTCTATTAGTGCTCTACCACTGTAGCAACTGGAGGCCTTCAGGAATAATGAGAATATACGTCAGTAATGTAGTATATGACCCTATAACAGTTGTTAATCAGATCTTTTTAAAAGCTACTTAAAACACTGAAATGTGGAATTCAATATTCTCTGCTTTTAGGTGCCACCAGCTTCATTCATAACTTTGTTACTAGAAATAAATACAATTCTTTAATTTCAGATTTCTTTTCACTAAGCCCATCTGTGCTATTCTTGGCATGTCTTTGTTAGGAGTTGAAAACTAGACAGGATTTTGTAATTTAGGTTGAGGTGGAGATCAGCTTTTAGCGGCTGATGGTAAGTACGGCTTTGCATGTATAAATGGGTTTTCACTCACATCTGTTTAATAGGTTAAAACTAGAGACAAGCCTGATCCCTCTAAATTAATCTCTGCCACTACCTACGTGAAAATTAAATGCCTTCCATCAGCATCCTGCAATAACAAAGTGGGTTCTGAAGATACAACTGTTGGGTCAAACCTACTAGTAGTTAAGAACTGAAAAGAAAACCCCTATCTTACTCTCACCCACCATACTCCCATCTCCCAACAATACCTTGTATGTTTAGGTGTGTTTGACAAACATTTATTAAACATGATGAGCCATGTGCTGTGCTTGGGGCTGGGGATAGAGAGGTAGATAAGGCCTTAGGAGCTGGCAGTCTGGTGGGAAGTCCGACAGCGAATACTTGGCATAGTGCGTAAAGCTGGTAGTCATTTTTATAACTCTGTCATGTAAGATACATCAAGCTTTCTCTATGTTATTTCATTTAATCTTATTTAATCCCATAATTTCCCCAAGGTATTGTCGTTCCCAGTTTACACAGATGAAGGAATGGAGACAGTTTCTTGACACAGTTACTTAAGGTTAAGTAAGCTTGCCCAAGACAGAGAAATAGTTCCACCAAGATTCGAGCTTAAATCTTTCATATTTCATTCAGTTTACCATTGCTACATCTAGAATTTTTATATCCCCATTTTAATTAATATAATTTAGTGACAGATTGTTTTCACTACCTTATTTTTGATAGTGAATTAAACATCTAAAAAGCAAATAAATTAGTGAAAGACTTGTCATATAATTTTTTTCTAACTTAATTTCACTAACTTTTATTTATTTCTCATATCACTTAAAATCCTAAACAGCAATATGGACTTCTTGGATGCATTTCTTATTTTCAGGTGAATCAGTACTGTCTCCCTTACTTCTATATTGTTTTATCATTCTTGATCTTATCTCTTTCATCATCCTTTTCTCTCATCCAACACTGAACATGAAATAGTGGCAGCATATTACAAGTTTACAAAATTGATGACATCTGGCCATACTAAATTTCAGGGAGATATTGAGGAAGATCAGTATTTGTTGCCCTTTACCCCAACAGCCAGCCCTTAAGGTTAGTGGCAAGAAGGGGAGTTTAAGGGGACAAAGTATGTACCCCTTGTATGTTTATGCAAAGGAATGAACAGAGATTACATATTAAAAAAAGAGGACTAAAATATTTTGGAAAATGTCATGTAGGTTTCTTAGCATTATTGAACCTGGGAATGGCATATCATTCGTCCTGTACTTGAGAGAGAAGAATTAAAGCAGGGAAAAGGAAATATGTATCTATCTTTGCTATAATTGTAGTTAAGAAATCTTTAGCAGGAATGAATGTTATTCAATCCTTTTAAACTTGGAAGCAAATTTAATGACATCAAAAACATAAGAACAACCTAAGAACTCCCAGCAAGAGAACTCCCAACTTAAGAATTACAGAAAAAGCATTAAAATTAAATGCATTAGGACATTGCAATAAAGTTATTCCTAGGTTTTCTGCCATAGGGACATGTGCTGGATGGCAATCACTGTGTGATCCAAAGATAATAGTCACAGAATACAAAAAAGTCTGGTTTATCTACTGTCATTTGTACTTACTTTATTCTTCGTTCAACAGATTGTATATCGAGCAACTTCTACGTACCGGGAGTTGTTCTAAGTGTTGGAGATAAAACAATGAATAAGATACATACGGAACCTACTCATAGTGAGGAATGTAGACAGATTAACAATCAATTAAAACCAGTGTGATAAATGTTTCAGTGCTGTTTGAGGAAATACAGATTGCAATTTGAGCACACTGGAGAGCCGCGGTAGCGCAAGGAAAGTTTTTCAGGAGAAAATGACATCTTGGCTGAGTCTTAAAGCATGAAAAGAACTTAGCCAGGTCAGAATAGTGAAATAAATGGGTAAGTTTGTACCCAGCCTAGGGAACATCACATACAAAGGACAAGAGGTGAGAGTAGTGTGGCAAGATTTTAGAATGTGAAGAGAGGAATGGTGAGAGATAAGAGTTAAGCAGGTTCCAGATCATTCAGGCTCTTGTAAAACAAATTAGGTAGTTTTAGACTTTCTCCTAATCACTCCCAAGAGCTATTGAAGGTTTTTAAGCAGGGATTTGCATTTTAAAAACATCATCAGACCATAAGGTGGTACTAATACTTTTGTAGTCTTTCACAGGTAATCTAAGATGGATATTCTGTACCTAATTCCACACTGCAGTGATCAGTATCAGAGTGGTTTTTCTTATTGCAATGTTAGTGTATATATATATAGCCTTAATTTTTAGAAAGAAAGATCCAACTTATGAATTGTCACTAATGCAAAATTATTTCTCAGAAAATCATAGAGCACTGGAACCCCATCATTTCACAGATCAGAAGACCAGAAGCGAAATGACCTGCCAGAGTTGCAGACTGGCAACTGCTGCCTTGGCCTAGTCAAGCCCAGACAGGCATCTCCTACTGCCTTAATTTGGGGGCATCTTTCTAGGACCCTGCTCTGCTTCTACGTCTTGAGGGTTTTAAAGATAGCCATATTTCACAGAAGAACAAGGGCAGCTGTGTTTAGAGGGCTCAAATTTCTGATTCTGTTTTTTGCTTAGGAACCTTTCACAACCTTCTTCCTCAATGCAAATGATGGAAAATTTGATCATCCAGATCGAACTTTCTCGTCCGTTGCAAGGTCTTGGAGAACTAGTCAGAGAGATACTTCTGATGTAAAGGTAGGCTCTTTTATTTGTTGATATTCGTTAAGTTTCAAAATATGTGGAAATTTTGATTTTTTAAGTGGGTATGTATAAGACATTTTATATTGCAGCTTTGTTCCATCATATTAAAATTATATGGTACATATAACCTTAAAGGAAATAATTTTGAACATTACAGAAAATAAACTGAAATTTATTTTATATTATTACTCAGTGAAGGTGTTTTCGTTATTTCAAAAAATTCCTATCTAATTTAGATCGAATAATCAGGAGATGTGAAAAGCCTATAAATTGCCTTTCCTGCTGTTAACTCAATATTTGGTCCATTCCATAAAACACAGCAGGAATTGGATTTGACCTTAATGTGTCATATTGTTATAGCTTGCCTGGCTTGGGGTTTGCGTAGCCTGGGGCAATTAATAAAGCATTAATGACAAGACCCATTTAAAATGTAGGCTTTTCTGTATAGCCTTAGCTTTTACTTGACTGTGCCTGGGGATACTATGCAATAATACACATTAGATTAAACCAACACACACACAATATCCAGAAACAGCCGGAGAGCAGAGTAATTTTACAGTTGGTACTGCTTAACTATTGTTAATTACAAAGATTTGTTATTCATTTATATGGGCTCCGGTTTTAAAAAAGAAAAACATTGTATTCAAGGCAATAATATATATTTGTTCTCTCATTTGTCTCATTTTTTTGCTGATAATAAGGTTACATGGCCAGGTTATTGCATAGGCAAATGTGTTTCTTATTTTAAGCTCATTTTCTTCAAGGCATATTTTTTTCCCATTACTGTCACTCAGTATAAAAATGTTATGGTATCATTCCATTTAGAGCCTTAAACCAACAAAAGTTAGTGAGTTAAAATCAAAATTGTCGTTTACATATTTATGCTTCTCTATCGCAAAACATTTGTAAAAGGCAATTTTAGTGTTAATGAAATATAATTGGATGAATACAAGTTTTGTTCAGTGTTTTTCCAAAGCAGAAAATAAAGGAAATGGAGCCAAGTAGAGTGTAACATATCTGTGTTTTATTTGTTGTCGTCAAACTTTACATAAATGAATATTTATTCATACAACATATTTACTTTGTAAAAAAATAGGAGAATTTAATATGCATCCTTACTATATCAAGCTTTGAAGTTCTAACTGTCTTAAAACTTTGCTGAGAATTAAACTCTAAAATATCCATAAGCCATCATTTAAAATGATTTGTTACCAGTGAAGTCAGGGAGGGAATCTGTTTCTTATATAATAACACTTTGAGAATTAATACAGAAAATGGGAATCCATAGGCTCCCATTGAACAGTAGTAAACAGAATTCACACAATGTTCATAAAAAGCACTCAGATATTTTGTATGTGAATTAAATATTCTTATCTATAATTGAAGGCTTCTTATCGCAGTTAAGATTATTGATATTTTAAATCAGAGCTATATCCATATTATATCAGCCTATTTCAAATGAAAATGCCTGCTCACTGTTATTTGACATCATCGCACACACATACACAAAAATTGGCTTTTCAACTTAATTCAGAGATCCACCCTCACATGCCCACACACATACTGGGGTCAGTCATTCTAATTTTTATATACAGTTTTAGATTTCACTTCCTAGCCTGAGAATTTCATTGATGCTTTATACCATCAGTCTCTGATAACCAATGCCCTGTACCAGGCTTTTTCCTCTACATTCTCCCAGGAATTTTCCTCTTCAAAACCCTTTCAGAAACATTTACATTTTATTACTAATTATATTTTGGGGGCTCCTGGGGTCACATCATCCAGGACAAAGACCAATGTGGATATCACTAACTTGGGAGTTTTTTTGTTTTTTATCCTCAAGCAGCTGTACTGAACACAAACATGCAGCTTTTTTTTTTTTTCCCCCAAAGACTTAATTAGTTCATAAGAAGCTCATTTCTCCAGGTTGACATTACACAGATTGCTCTCATTTTCGGCTCTCTTACCGCCACTCGTGAACCTTTCATATCATATGTTAATACATCTTAGATCTTGCCATGTAGACTTCCCCTTTCTTTTTAAAGGCAGCATGCTACATATATACAATAATTTATATATGTGATCTCTGGTTGATGGAGAATCTTTCTCCCTGATTGTTGCTATGAAACACAAGGCTGTAGTGAACATCTTTGCACAGACATCCTGATGGACTCCTTCTATATACCTAAAGACTAATTCTTGTTAATGGGACTCATGGCTTAAAGACAATATATGTTTTTATTTTTTAAGATACTGCCAAACCATCATCCTCAAAGATGAAAATTCACTCCCTTACAGCAGTGTGCAAGGGTACCTCCTTCCCCATACCCCCTACACCCATCATCACTATTGTATTAAACAATGGAGCTTCTGTGAGTCTGGCAAGTGAAAAACTAAGTTATCTTTGTTTTAGTTTGCTTTTTTTTTTTTTTAGTGAAGTTGAGCATTTTTCATGTACTTATTGACCTGTACACTGACTCCTGTCTTTTGCTCATTTTTCAGTTGGGTCACATGTCTTTCTCTTACTGATTTGAAAAAGATCTTTGAAGTTGCAGAAGGTTCCATTGCAAGTAGGGTTTCTCAGTCGTCTTAGCTTTGTTATGGTTCGTTTAGTGTGTGAGTGCGTGTGCATGTGCATATGTGCGTGTGCACGCGTGTGTGTATGTGTGTGTCCAGTCAAATATATTTATATTCTCCTTTATAGCATCAGAATTTGGGGTCCTCATGACCAGAGTGTTAAAGAGAAGATCAGACTTTTGGGTAATAACTAGTGCTAACTTGAGAATCTTCTGAATTCATGATTAAACCTGATGTATCAGATAAAAATACATTGCTAAGAGTAGTACTTGTTTTGCTACTAGTGTGTTAAAACCTAAAGTTTTTATTTCTTATTTCTAGGCTGTTAAAACATAGCATTTGATATATTTTTTAAGGAAGTGTGTTTCCACTTCCAGAGAAGACAAGTATCTCTGCAATGTCTACTAACTTAGTCAGTTAATCATATAGGAGAGAACTAGGATGCAGTAGATGGTTTTATTCTGTCTGTCTCTATTAATGTCAGTCTCTTCCTGTGCTAATGAACGCAAGCTGGGAAGAAGGAGTGCTGCTGAAGTGACCTTTCAGGAGAGAGGTCTCTGGAGTTGAGTCAGATCAGTTAGTTTTTACTTTATTATTATTTTTTGAATTTCTTTCCTCTAGCCTAGTCTTGGTAACAATGACATTCAACTTACTGAAGTTCTTACACTAATTTTCCTTAATGCCTTCAAAAGTTGTTATATTACTTTTTGAATAGCTATGTAGATGTCAGAAAAGGTAGCTGTGACAAAATGTCATTAAGGTGACATAGTGTAAATTAATACAGTTAATGGAGGTGCTCGCCATTGACTCATTGACCCATTATGAGCTCTTGTGGAATTAATGAATGCCAGGGCATCAGTCTTTTGAAAAAAAAGGAAGAAAAGAGATGGCAGCTTTAAAACCTTGCAATGAATTATATTAGAAAAGTGAAAACGTCTGGATCGGATTTGATTTCACTAGGAAGCCATAAAATGGTATGCTCTCTCAGCAAAATATATTAAGCTGAAATGTCAGATTTGATGCAGTAGGTATACAATTATGATAGTGTTAATAGTGGTCTTCTATCATTCTGAGACATACTTTCAGGTCCAATTTCTCAGCAGCTTGAACTTGTCATAAGCTTATAAATTAGAAATTGCATTTGAGGATATGTTCTTATTTTTTGACAGAATGTATATAATACTATTAACTATACCATGGGGTTTTAGTGTAACTGCTAAAGTAAACTAGAAATCACATTTATAGACACAAAATGCCTTCTATAATGTTCATTTTGCCATTTCTTTAGTAATATTTGGTGTTTTCCTGCACTGTTTTTCATTCAGGAAATTTTAAACTACTTGGACTTTTTCCTTAAAGAGAAGCTGATTAATAGAAATTTATCAATGGGAAGAGAGTCAGCAGAACAGCAGTTATCTTAAGTAGGCAATCTAGTGTCTAATGTGCCTCTGTAGGAGTACACTTACACATTTTAAAAATAAACCCATCTTTTAAAATAATACTGAATAATTTTCAAACATGTTTTTTGTCGGTTGTTTGATACAGTCCTTGAAACAATCCTATGAGGTAGCAGTCATCGTCCCTATTTTGTAAAGGAGGTTCACAAATATTAAGTGAGTCACCTAAGTTCACACTCAGGCAGGTAAAGAGGAAGCCAGTACTAGCACAGAGTCTGTCCAGTTATTTAAGATGCTTCATATCCAAGAGGATTTTAAGAATGGGAGCTGCAAGGCCACTTCATGCCTAGGCCTGGAAGTCACATCATGTTACTTCCACTTGCTCAAAGCAAGTCATGGGGCCGGCCCAGAATAAGGGAGAGTAGACACAGACTCCACTTCCTGATGAGACGAGTGGCAAAGTCACATTTCAAGAGGACACTGAGGGTGGAAGGATTACTGTGCCCTTCTTCGGAGACAGTCTACCACAGTCCTGTCTCTGGTCAAAATTCACATTCATCCTATATGTAAAATATGCTCAACTTGTTCCCCACAAGTCCCACCGCAGTATTTGTATCAGACTGAAAACCTGGTATCTCAATGTCTATGTAAGCTCCGGATACAGATACGGCACAGCAATTCCTAATTTGGAGACCTGGGAACTAAAAGGACAAATTATCTGTCCCATGTACACCCAACATGTGGTGGTAAGACAGAACAGTTAAACTTCAGTAGATACTCCATTCAAAAGGGGGAGAATGTGGAAGGTACACAGCAGTCAATGGTTCATAGCAGTTCTGAAACCCAGCCAGGAACAAGTTGCCGATTACTCAGATTGCAGGGACAGGGACTGTCCATGGATTAGGGCCCAGGTCTGTTATCTGGGCTTGGCTCCCTAATTCATTATTTTCCATGGCTCTTGGTTACTTCCTCTGGAACACTGGCTTTGCCCTCTGAATCGTTCTTTTGTTTCCAGAAGAA